TAAACCTTTTACACAATTTTTCTGTATTACTAAGAAGACATATTTTTAATGAAAATCTAAAGTTTCATTTAAGTGGCTGTATTATTGTTTTCTTAACAGTCATAACTTATTGGGTAGTTAGACGACTTTTGGTTTTGTTTGCTAATAAATTTGTAGTGAAGATCACCATGAATATAGATTTTTTCCCATATTTCAAATTATTTCTTTGAGGTATATTAAGAGGAATATGACTAATAATGATTTCAAGGATATGACTATTTTTAAATGGCTTTTGATATGTATTGAAAAAAATGATTACTGTAATACTAAAACATACTCATATATAAAACAGCAAAACTTTAAGACTGCAACCAGAAAATACAGAAGAGTATTCTATAAACTTGTGATGGGAAAGGTATCTTAAATAAGACATTTCGTAAAAAAGAAAACAAAAACAAACCAAAAAAGAAACCTGAATAAATTTGATTACAGTAGAATTAAATTCTTCTATTTATCAGAAGACACCATAAAGAAATTGAAAACCAGCCTCAAACTTGAAGAAAACAATTGCAAAATTTCTAACAGATGAGTAAAAAAGGAATGACCCCTGGTGATTAACGTAACAATAAAAAAAATAGTGAAGCAAAAAAAAAAAAAAAGGAATGACCCCAAGTCAATTAAAAGGCAAGAGACATCCCAATAGAAAATGAAAGGAAAACCTAAACCACCATTTCAAAGAAAAAGATATATGCATATCCAACAAATACATGAAAATACGTTCAACCTCATTAGCAGTTGGGAATGTAAGTCAAGATTACGTGGTATTTATACCATGTCAACCAACACAAATGAGAAATTTCGCAATTCCAAGTGTAAAAGAAGATACAAATTAACAAAAATTTGTATTTATTGCTGGTGGGTGTGTGTACTGGAATGATCATTTTGGAAAACAATCTGTCATTCTCAGTCAGGTGAATATTCCCATACCCGACAATCCAGCAACTCTACTTTCGCATACATAACCTCAGAGAAACTGCTTTGTGTGGACAACAAAGGCAGTTAAGAGAATGTTCATTTCATCACTTTTGGTAATAACCAAAATTTTTATGTCTGCTAACCAGAGAATGTAGAAATACACTGTAGTACATTTAAACAGAAAACACAGAACTAAAAATGAAAATTTCATCACACAGAACAACATGGATGACTCTCAGACACAAAAATGTTGGGCAGAATGGGCAGGCCCTAAAAAACTAAATATTATAGGCTATGATATTTTGTGACGCTCAAAACAAGCAAAATTGAGCAATACGTTATTTAGGTATTCATATGAGTGTGATAAAACATTTTTAAGCAAAGAAAAATAAAGGCAAATTTCTGGATTATGAGTTTGTCTAACTGAGAAAAAAGCAGGAAGATGCAGCAGAGGATATGAATACAAAAATGGTCATTTTCCATTAGATTTGAGATTGTAAATATTGGACAAACCTATAAATACAGTAGTGCAATCACTACCACCTGCTACTCACCCCCCCCCAACTCCACCAAAAATAAAGGCAAAGAAGGAAGCTTTATTCTAGGAGAAACCAAAACTTCTGTCAGATTTCCCATATTTTCACTTTGCTTATAGCCCTTGCAAATGATAGAGGACATTCCCTCTCTAACTGATGAGAAGTATCAGTCCAACCTGTCTTGCCACCCTGCCAATACTTGCTTAGTATTTTATGTACAGTTTATTACGGAAAGTGAAATTAACTATTTTGCTTTAAAAGGTGATAGAAATCTTAAATCTGGGTCATTTCCAGCTCCTGCTGGACTACAGGCTGTCTTCCTTCTGGGCACAAGTCCCAGTGGGAAAATATAAATATCTCCTTAAGTACCAGAGGGTATTCTAGAGCTTTGAAGATAAGGAGATGTGATTGGTAATGTGTCTTATTAACTTTGGTGCAGTTTGAGGTAATGAACTACCTTGCTGATTTAACCGTCAGGATGGATGGCCTCTTGTGTCCTCAATGCATCTGAAGGACACAGCTGGAGAGGCTGAATGTACTGGCTTTACAGGTCACCTTTGCAAAATAAAATGTAGTCTTGTAGCCAGAATTGGAGCTAAAAGCCACTTAGAATAACTGTTAACAGTTTGGGACTCAAAACTGCTTGGAAATCACAGAATTCACAGTGGCTTTGAAGAGATGGCAATTGAAAAAGGAAACTTCCGTCCAAAATGGTAAATGGAGCTGATGTGGCAATCCCCCTACCCCCTGCTTTCGTGATATTGAAATGCTGGGTAAAATACAAAGGACAACATTTAAGTTCATCGGGCTGCTCTATGAAATATGAAAATCTTCCCGGAGCAGAAACAAAGAGGGAAGTTAAGTGCATGCAGAGGTTGGGAGGCCAAGCTAAACAAAACACTGGCATATCAAAACAGGGTATGTGACATACCAGCTAGGGTATTCAACACTAACTTGGGATGAAAAAAGGGGCACCAGTCTCAGGCAGTCCAGGGAGATGGAAGAACATAAAGTTGGGTGCCACCTGTCCTGGAAACCAGAACTATAAAATCCCCGTCCACTGGAGTAAAAGGAATTGGCAAGGAAGCTGAGAATCCTTTGGATTTTAGTTGGAAAATAAGGATTCACCTACCAGAAACTGAAACCTAAGTTTATATCACACATGAGAGTAGAACATGACATTTCTAGGACTCTGGTACAAACATCAAAAAAAAAAAAAACAAAAACACAACTCATAAGGACCCTCTGACAGCCCAGAGCAGAAAGGATTTCCAGTAAAAACAATTCCTACTACAATTGAGCTCAAAAACAAAATATTACAAACCATATGAGAAAATTTACTGCCATTCGAGGCAGTCAGTAGTGGTAATGAATATAGAATCTACAACTTATAATCTAAAGATGACACAATTGGCGCGCCTGGGTGGCTCAGTTGGTTAAGCGACTGCCTTCAGCTCAGGTCATGATCCCGGAGTCCCGGGATCAAGTCCCGCATCAGGCTCCCTGCTCAGCAGGGAGTCTGCTTCTCCCTTTGACCCTCCCCCCTCTCATGCTCTCTCTCTCTCTCTCTCTCATTCTTGCTCTCAAATAAAATAAATAAAATCTTAAAAAAATAAAGATGACACAATTGTAAAGACTTTTATAATAAATAACTTGAGCCTGCTGTTAAAAGTTGCCAGTAAGATCTCTTTTTCTTGAGATTGGCAACTAGAGTTCATACTTAAGAAATAAAGGGTTCCCTATATTCTATGTTAAAAAAACTTCTGCAACGTGTTTTCACAAGCTGTGGCCTAAATAGAGAGGGGTGACGGGGAGGGCAAAGGGGGTATATGAGGAAAGGAGAACTGGAAAGTGAGACAAATTTTTTTTAAGATTTTATCTTTTAAAGTAATCTCTACACCCAACGTGGGACCTGAACTTACAACCCTGAGATCAAGAGTCATGTGCTCTACCAACTGAACCAGCCAGGTGCCCTTGAGGCAATTCTTTTTTTCAACTCTTTACTGTGGTGTTTAGGGGAAACCCATCTGGTCCTTTTTCCTGGAAGGATCTAAAATGATACCACTCATTGAATGGGCAGGTATATTCAGAAAGAGATGGTTGGCATGCATTCCCCACTGAGCTGCTGGTATGGCCAAAGAGGCATCATGGAGTTACGGGAGATGGGATCTGCCAGAGCTTGCTGGCTAAGCTGAAATGTGGTGGAGAAATAAGAATCCAGCACATCATGGAAGCATGAGTTTAAAAGATGTAACTTTCAAGAGAATGTGGTTTAAGGTTACTGGCAAGAGTCAGCCTGAAATTTTGTTGAATACCCCAAGGCACCATGAATGAATAGATCTTTTTTGGGGGTTCATAGTCTATATGAATATGGATCCCCAACAGATCACATCAAGTCTAGGAAGAAAAAGCCAGATCAGTGGTGATAACCTATAGAATCTGGTGATAACATACTCATTATCATAGATGTCTATGGGTGTTATAAAAGGGTATAGCAACTGTGATCAGCAAAGAAAGGACATTGATATAAAGAATGTATTTTCCCCCTCATTATCCTCCCTTAAACCAACACCATACAATCACTATCCAGAAATTGAGTGGGAGGAGAGGACACTAAAATCATTTTTTTTCTCACTTCCACCTTTGTATAAACTGTTGAAGCCACAGATTAATCTAAACTAATGGAAGATGTTAAACTATGAGATCAAAATTTAAGTAAGACTAAATTTTAATAACCAAAAGTGAATGAAAAATCATGGGATCAGACAGCAGTAGTGATTTGGAAGCCAACTACTAGGCAGAAAATGAGGTTTGACATGGGTGGTTACAGTTATTGGAAAACCAAAACTCTTCCATGCTCATTACTCACTGAGACTTCTCAACCAAACAGACTGCATAGGTTTAAGTCGTTTAACAAAAGGAAGAAATAGAATCAATTATGCAAAAGCAGAAGATTACATAAAAGAAGAGACAAATTTTCTAAATAAGTAAAATCTTAAGAAATGGAAAATAAGGTCTTTGAAAGAATACAAAATCATATCCACACGTGTATATGGGTAGATGTGTATATAGAGATGAGTATATTTATACACCAATAGTCAGTTGAAGAGGTAATTTGAGAACTAAAAGACAAATTTCAGAAAAATACACAGAATCCAATAGAAAGAGATAGATATATAGAAAATATTAAAGGGAAACCCTCAAATGAGAGAAAGAGAGAACAGAATTTGTTGTATTAGTGCTGAAAGCTACAGAAAATAAAGAACAGGAAAGGAAGGGAAGAGATGACACTATGGGTCCCAGGAAAGTCAGAACTAATTCACTATCATGTTACATGAGGGAGGAATTTTTTGTATCTAGGAAATTGCTTTCTGACAATATTTTAAAATGAAACTCTTAAATATTTTCTTATGTTCTTAATTTCTTTACATCACTATTATTCTTTGCTTCCTATGACTCATGTTGTTCATGTAAAAGATAGGCCAATCCATCAGAAATCTATTTTGGGATATGTTTTCTAAAGGGATCTTTTATTTTCATATTAATAAATTTTTTCAAGACTATTGAGCTATCCCTCTACTTCTTTTTTTTAGGTACATATACACACATTTATCATAAATTTTTACATCACACAATTTACAAATAATAATAAAATATACGATACTCTTTTCTGTGAATTCTATGTGGCTAATTGAATCTCCTGGAATCCTTGTGTAGTCTTTTTTTTTTTATTATGTTATGTTAGTCACCATACATCATTAGTTTTTATTTTATTTTATTATGTTATGTTAATCACCATACATTACATCATTAGTTTTTGATGTAGTGTTCCATGATTCATTGTTTGCATATAACACCCAGTGCTCCATTCAATACATGCCCTCCTTAATACCCATCACCAGGCTAACCCATCCCCCCACCCCCTCCCCTCTAGAACCCTTAGTTTGTTTCTCAGAGTCCATAATCTCTCATGGTTCATCTCCCCCTCCGATTTCCTCTATTTCTCATCTATAATTACACTTCTAACCTCTTCTATTTGTACTGAAGTTATAAAGTCCCTTTTTAGTCCATCTCCAGTGGTTTGGAATATATATGACTTCTTTATCAACTATATTCACTAAGATGACTCAGTTCACGTGGGGGAAGGGGGCTTAATTTACAGCCCAGCTAGTGGGCAGTCTCTGGCAGCGTCGGCTTTTGGTGCTAGGTAAAGTTTTGTGCTCCTCAACACAGTCCTTACTGTTTGGTGCTAGGTAAAGTTTTGTGTTCCTCAACACAATCCTTACTGTTAGTAAATAGTATTTTCACATGGATTCTTTATTAACAATTTTCAGATAGTCTAAGGAGTAAAGCATGTGGAAAAGATAATGCAGGACTTAAGATGATGCATAAATATAATACAAAATGTCCCCCCAAAAGAGCTAGACAACATGTCTTGTGAAGCACCCTATAGGGCAGAGCGATTCTTGCAGACAATTACAATAAAATATACTTCTCCACAAAATACCTTTCTGCTAAGATACTTATGATTTTATGCATATTCAAATATATGAAAGAATAAAGACCAGTTTCTATAATATTGAGGAAACTTATTTATAAGATTTTTGTGACCTAATAATAATGGTAATAATAAGAAGAATTAGAACTATAATTGCTCACATTTATTGGGCATTAGGCTAAGTACTTTAAATAGAATAGCTCATTTAATTTTCTCAGCACCCTATGGGATAGGTATTTTTGCCCATTTCACAGATAGGAAACAGATTTATACAATGTAAGCAACTGGCCCAAGGTCACAAACTTCTAAGTGCCTTTGTGAGGAATCTGAGCCTAAGTAGTCTTAACACCAGTGTTCCTGTTCTTAATCACTGTGTTTCACGTAGGATCATAAGCTGACACATAAGTAATAAAGCTCAAGAAAAGCAACTGACTTCCAAGGTCTTGCATTTGCCATTGAGCCTGGTGCAGAGCCACTGATAGTTGGTGGTTAGAGTGTCAAGTTCCTTTTTAAAGGCTTCTTGTGCTGCAGGGGTAGCCAGAGGTATGACACTATTGACGGACTCAGTAAGGAGTTTCACTTTGGCTTCTTTCTGCTGGGCCTCTTCTTTAGCTCTCTGAAAAACAAAGAATGCTCTCTTACTTGATAGCAAGACAATGGATTTACTTCCAAAATGCATTCCTCTGTATCATATGTTTTCTTCTCCCACAAGATCCCTGTGAAGAGATTAATAAAAATAAATCCGGTAGTGACTACAATAACTTCCATCAATTTAGGTTTAGTTAAAATTTGAAGTTGGAAGGAAAAAATTATCATCAGAATGTAATAGCTCTTTCATCCAAATGTGGTGCAAAGTAGTCAACACGTGGGTATGTATCTGCGGTGTGCTCTCGCCCTCTTTCATACATATGTGTGTGTGCATATATACACACATACACGCACACACACACACACATATGAGACAAGCAAGAAACACGTATTTCAATACCAACAAAAATATCCCATATTCTAGGGCGCCTGGGTGGCTCAGTTGGTTAAGCGACTGTCTTCGGCTCAGGTCATGATCCTGGAGTCCCGGGATCGAGTCCTGCGTCGGGCTCCCTGCTCGGCAGGGAGTCTGCTTCTCCCTCTGACCCTCTTCCCTCTCATGCTCTCTATCTCTCATTCTCTCTCTCTCAAATAAATAAACAAAATCTTTAAAAAAATATCCCATATTCTAGAATTGAAATCATTTCTAAATTACTCAGATGAATAATATTGAAATCAATAAAAATATCATTATTTAAATCAAAAGATAATTAATATAGAAAAGTCTTCTTAATGCTACATCCAGAACAATATCTTGAGAAAAGAAAGTTCTATTCAGTAACTGAACACATACAAGAGGAAGAGGAGAAGAGCAGCCCCTGAAAGAAGGGAGGCTCACCTGGTCCTCAGCTATGCCTTTGGTCTTCTCCCATGGAATATAAAGTATTTCACAGAATATCAACATCAGACAAGGCTACTTTGTTACCATTGTGGATCATTCAACAATACCACTACATTCCATAATTTTGTTAGAATATATACAAAGCATAAACTGCCCAACCACAAAATATCTAACACTTCCCTGTCCCCATTAATATGAATCTGTGCTGCTTCTTTATCAATTATACCTTCAGCCTCACTCTAGCCCTCCTTCATTCTAGGACAGATTTATTAAGATACCCGATCACAGAGTTATTCCCACTTACTGGCAACATGCAACCCAAAGCAAAGCTCTTCAACTCTCCCTCAAATCATCTAACATAAACCCAGATCCTACAACAGGTTCTTTCTAATATGCTCTAACTCATACAACCCATAGTTCCCCAAAGTACTCACTGCCAGAAGTACTAAACCCAATTTGGACAACTATATGAATCTTGCTGGAGGGCGTTAGCTGCAGGGTATGTATAATCCTCAATTTTCGATGTGTACATGCATATCTCTCTGTCTCTGTCTCTGTCTCTGTCTCTCTCTCTCTCTCATACACACACACACACACACACATGCACAATATATCTTTCATTTGAGTTACTCCAAAGGCCAACCCTGAGATGAGCTTTCAAGCATAAGTAGTTTATGTGTCATGTAAAGCAAATACTGGTATAGGAATGGGGAATGGAGACAGGAAAGGGAAGAGAGATTATAAGGGTACACTTATTCAGCTCAGCAACCAGTGTTGGTTACTAGTCTAATCTTACTGGGAAGCTCTGGGAAACACATGTCTCACCGTTATCACACTCAAGGGTGAAGAATTGGGGTACTTATACATCATCTCCCAACATTGGTTGAAGGCTACTGGGGGGATGTTAATTTCATAGTAGTGAAGCTTGACACATAGGCAGGAAAAATGGGTTGCAGGAACCACAGAAAGTCCTTACAAGAAATGCAGGTTCTGGCAGGGGGAAGTTGGGCCTACATGCAGTGTAATGGTGAGCATAAGGGGAGATGGGCAAGAAATGGACAAGGTCAGCTATAAAATGCCTTTATATTTTTCAACACAATTGCCCTATGCCTTTGGACTTATTCTTATGATGCCTCAAAAGTATATAATATGATGGCAAATGCCAAGATGTTTTGAATATTAAGTGATTGCCTTCATGGATTTTGATGTAATTGATTAAAAATTTTAGCCCCAAATTCTTAAATCTGTTTTTGGCATTACTGAGCATGAGGTTTGTTTCTACACAAACCATATTTTGACTAGTAATTTTAGCTTACAAACAATTTTGACAACCATTAATCACTCTGTGCTGCTGTGTGCTGTCAGACATGCTGTACGTGCTACTTCGTTGCATCTTTAACGAAACCTCGTGAGATGTGTTTTGTCATCTCTATGCATATTTGACATCAGAAAACTGAGTTTCAAAGTGTTTAAGAAAGTCGTCCTGGAAACTCATCCTTTCTTTCCCATAGTTTCTGTTAAGCCCATCTCAAATCCTCCGTGAAATGAAGAAGCGTGCTGTAGTGGATCCAATGAATGAAATTACATTTTATACAAGTTACAAACAACCTATACAACCATCAAAAAATGCAGGATAAAGAACACTTCTTTCTTCCATTTTTTTGGCTTTCATATATTCTTTAAAAAAACAAACAAACAAGCTTAGAAGTTGGGAAACATTCAGAGGAGAAACAGACAAAATTTCTCCACTGAAAGAAAAGGTAGAAAATTAAATGATTGGTGTAATTTGGATGTAATCTTCATTAGAAGTGATGTCTTCCCCTCCGCTTTATTTCCATGAATCTAACCATTATATGCTGAGACACCTTTCATTGCCAATATCTCAAACGAGTGGTTCTCAAAGTATGGTTTCTTAGAACCACTTTGGAACTTGTTTCCTGGCATCACCTGGCAATTTGTTAGAAGTAAAAATTCTCAGGTACCACCCCAGACTCAGTGAATTAGAAATGCTGGGGTGGAGCCTAGATGTCTGTGTTTTAACAAGTCCTCTAGGTGATTGGGATGCTCACTCAGTTGTAAGAATCACATTCTAGTCTGTCACACAATGAGAACAGTAAATACATTTATGTAATTCTGGCAAGTATGAGGACTAGAGTTACAATAATGTAAATTTAAAACAAAATAAAGAAGAAAATAGTTAAAACTGAAATCTCAGCAATTTTTAAGGAGTTTAATATGAAGTTTCACCATTTATTCATTGTAGAACTCCAAAAGAATTTTCAAGTCAGATAATTTTGCTTATCAAACACTCCCAAAAACTCTTTTATGTTAACTGTAAAGTTTTGTTTACAAGGGAAAAAGAAGTCATGAAAGTAGCATAATCATTTTCAAATAAAACACAGGAGTTAAAAATAAATAAAGAGAAGGATGTCTCTACTTTTTCTCTGAGTAAATTAGGGAGAAATGTCTGAGTAGGTCTGCCAGTTTCTTTTGACAATAAAGATAAATTTGCTCTCAACATGAGCGCAGGTGGAAGCCTGGACAAAGTACCATTACTACCCTCTAGGTAGTGAAACAAACCTAAAGAGATTACCTTGACTGGCAGGCAAAAAAAAAAATAAAAAAATACAAGAAATTGGATCTTCTTGCCAACTCCCCTGGCTGTTGTCAGAGGCTGCCTGAGCTTTTCCTCTTTTCAATATTACCCCCATCCTGGAGCAATTCTGTAGCTAGATCAATTATTTAAACAAGTAAGTCAACGTGGGCTAATTGGTTGCGTTACTCATTTCAAGAACCGTGTGAAAAATTTCAAAATTTGAGACAGTCTGCTCTCTAGCACTGGAAAAGAGAAAAGGATCTGCCTGGGTGGTTAGCCAGATAGGCAAAGTGTTCAAGGAGAGAGGGAAGGGGGCCAGAAGAGGGCCAGAGCCAAACACAGGAACTGGGAGAAGTACAGCAGCTGAACACAAGCTCACTGCTGATTATCTACTTAGGGATCTGAGGCAGTGGCTACAAAGTATTAGAGGAGGTGAGGAAAACAGCCACCAGGAGAATGGGATGTGAGGGTAAAGGCAATAGGGACGGCACATGACTCTAAAAGAAAAGAAAACACAAGAAAAAATAATTTGGAATAGCTTGGGATGGGATGGTGTGGGATTGGATGGCATGACAAATATTCAATATTCTTGGTTCTACCATAGATAAAGCCTGTGACTATGAGTAAATTATTCACCTATCTGGGGATTTCAGTTTTCGGATCAGCAAAGAGAAGTGTGGTCTATTTGCTTCCAAAGTATCTTGTAGCTCTCACCATCTATGGTGATATAATTTTCCTAAGAGTGACCTCCCCACATTCAAATTTAAAATCATTAGAGTCTCTTGTTTGAAACTGTCCAATGGCTTTCCCATTTCACTTCTCATGAACTTCTCCAATCCTACGAAGTTCCTGTTAGCAGGTACCTACCCACCTCCTCAAAATCATCTCAGATGATTTATCCTGTTTCACTCTGTGCAGCCTGGCAGGCCTCTTTCTCTTCCCAGTTAGCCTTAGGGTCTTTGCAGGAGCGCTTACCTCCAACTGGAATGTGTTTCCAATAGTTTTGTTTTTTTTTTTTTAAAGGCTGACTTTTTCTTAGGATTCCTATCTCCGATTATAATGCCTCACGAATTCCTTACATGTCAACCCTTTCTAAAATGCATTTCACTACCCCCAACTCCCACCTAAACGCTAATGATTTTTTATTTCACATTTGTGGTTTACTTGTTAGGCAAACTACCATGATCTCAAAAGGGTTTGTTTATTTCTCCATGCACTGCCTGCCCTCCCCCCACCAGAATGTAAGTTCCAAAAAGTCAGGTCATTCTTATGTCTTGCTCACCGCTGTATTCACTGTCTAAAAGGGTATGTAGCACATAAGTAACTATACAATCAATATTTGTTGCTTAAATGAATGAATGATATATGGTATTATTAGATTAGAATAATTATGCAGCTTTTAATACCCTGAAAACTATTACTGCTTAAATAAAGTCTTCCTTATATGTTCTAATTTTACTTTCTATAGGTGACTAAAGCCACATGATCTACTTGGAATAGCTTGGAATGGGATGGCATAGAATGGAAGGGGATGGAATGAAATATATTCAATACTCTTGGTCTTACCACAGGGTCTTTGAATGCCCACTCTGAGCCAGGCAATTTACTTACATGTAAGTTTCAATTCTCAGTTCATACATTCAAGTTAGAAAATGACATGGTGTAGACATGACAAATCAGAGATTACATTGATTGTCCAGTTGTCCAAGGTCATACTGAAATGCCACTGCAGAGACTCTACTTCAGGCCTCACCTCCCAGTCCCTGCTACGTACTAGTTTCCTTGGTCCTAAATCACTATTAGTTTTTATCCCACTGTTTGAAAAGTCCATGTAAATCCAGTCCTTTTTATTCACATTAAAGGCCATCAATTAAAGTATGTAGTATCCAGATTCTCAGAAACTCCTTTTAAAACACCAAATGAACACAGCCTGTTAGCTACATTTTCAACTGTCATTGCAGTGACACTTGGCGTATTTTCCATTTGAATTTTCATCACTAGAAACAGCTAATGTGAGTAACCAATTCCAATCACTTAATACGATATAATGTCATGGGGAAAATGTTGCTAATGGTGACTGTCAATATTTAGATTTTGGCAATGCTTTAAAATAAATAAATAAAAATTTCAGAATCCATAATATATACCAAACTTGAAGCTGAATTCATTAAAACTCAACCTCCACCATCAAACCAAGGAAAGAAAAGATAGTGTAGAATCACAATATCAAGCAAAGTAGCATTTTTCTCTGTTTTTTCTTTCTTTGCTTCATTTTATTTGGTTTATTTTACCTTCATCTCTTCAACTGCTGTCTGTAATTCATCAGGGGTTTTATATTCGAAATCTCTCTCTAGGTATTCTTCTTCAGCTTGCGTCATCCATTCATGCATCTCTGACAGATCTTTCTGAAGACTTACAGTTTTATCCAAACCTCCCTTTAAGGCTTCCTTCCTGGCATAGACCTTCCATAAAACAAACCAACAAGCAAAGCATGAATATTGAAAGTCACAAAACATTATCATTATATTATTACTGAACAATCTGTAAATAACAGAAAGCTTAGATAGAAAAGATGAAACAAGAAGTGAAAAAGCTTATATGAATGAGGAAATAATTCATGGCTATTGGTTACACTTAATTTCACGTGTTAAAATAAGATATAGCCATTTATTTGGCACAGGTACTAAAATGAATACATTCCCCCATGACTACAATTTAGCGCTTGTGTATAGCTACGCTTTTCTGTGAATAAATAATAGAGAAAATAATTTTTTCATAATATGTTTCAGTTAGATATGTAAATTTATTGGCACAGTTTCTAATGTTCATAAATCTGAGTCTACTCTTCCAGTTAATTTTTTAAATTTGTTTTACTCTTTCACTTTAAAGAATGTATCATACGAAACACAGTATACAAAGTGGCAGGAATAATTGTAAATAGATATGCCCCCAACGTGGGAGCACCCAAATATATAAAACAATTAATAACAAATATAAATAAATTCACTGATAATAATACAATAATAATAGGGGACTTTAACACCCTACTTGTAGCAATGGACAGATCATCTAAACGGAAAATCAACAAGGAAACAATGGCTTTGAATGTCATTCTGGACCAGATGGACTTCACAAATATATTTAGAACATTTTATCCTAAAGCAGAATACACATTCTTTTCAAGTGCACATGGGACATTCTCCAGAATAGATCATATACTAGGTCATAAATCAGGCCTCAATCAGTACAAAAAGACTGAGATCATACAATGTATCTTTTCAGACCACAATGATATGAAACTTGAAGTCAACCATGAGAAAAAGTTTGAAAAGACCACAAATACATGGAGGTTAAAGAACATCCTACTAAAGAATGAATAGGTTAACCAGGATATTAAAGAAGAAATAAAAAATATATGGAAACTAATGAAAATGAAAACAAGAGTCCAAAACCTCTGGGATGCATCAAAAGCAGTCCTAAGAGGGAAGTATATAGCAATACATGCCTACCTCGAGAAGCAAGAAAAATCTCAAATACACAACATAACCTTACACCTAAAGGAGCTAGAAAAAGAACAGCAAATGAAGGCTAGAGCCCGCAGAAGAAGGGAAATAATAAAGATTAGAGCAGAAATCAATGATATAGAAAACAACAACAACAACACTAGAACAGATCAATGAAACTAGGAGCTGGTTCTTTGAAAGAATTAATAAAACTGATAACCCCCCAGACAGACTTATCAAAAAGAGAAAGGACCCAAATAAAGAAAATTAGGAATGAGAGAGGAAAGATCACAACAAACACCACAGAAATACAACGTGGCATGAACACTATTCAATTCAGCTTTGAAGACAGCCACATATTAGAAACAGATCCAAATGTGCTTCTGTGGAGAACAAGTTAAACAAACTGTGAGATATACATATGCACACAATGGGATACTATGTAGCACTAGTACATTTGTACTGAAGTGAAAGTGGTTTGGTATATAATTTTAAGCTTAATAAGCAGGTTGCAAAACAGTAAGTGTGGTAATAGGAGGAGATTTGTTCTTTTAAAGCCTCATAGGTTTCTGAAGTACTTTTTTACAAAAGATGTATTACTTATTAACCAGAAAAATAGCAAAACTTGAAATATCTACAAGAAAATTGTGCATGTCAATCCCTTGTTACAAACCACCCTGTTGTACCACACTGAGGGAAAAATCTCAGTTTGGTATTAGAAAGATTATATATTGCTTCTCTTTTACCTTAAAAAGGAAATCTAATCCAATGATGTTAATTCTTTAAATGTAAATAAATGCTTCACTGTGACATAGCTAGAACAATATGTCTAACAGTTAAGCTAATTTAAGTATAAAGGCTATTTGCATAATCAATGAGCCTATAATCAGTGTAAAAAAACAGGTTGCTCGATTTCTACTCAGATGTTCTACTATAATCTTTTCAGGCAGTTGGCAAAGTGACAATAATATTAGAATGACTAACAGAACTTAGCTAAAGAGTTGTAGTAAAAAAATTATATATATATGTATACATATATATATATATATATATACACACATATATATATACTGCATGCTATTAAACTACACCAGAAGGAAGGGATCAGGAGTGATTTTTTTTAAAAGGAAAAGCAGGTGGGAAGTCATTCTGAGGTGACAGCACAAATGTATTGGAAAGAACATCAGCTTTGGAATCAAGAGACCTGGACTCAATCATTAGCAAGTTAAGTGAACCTGGAGACATCAGCTCATTTTTCTTTATCTCTGCTCTATAACTAATCTAACAGTTGGACCAGATGATTTCCAAGGTCTTTTCCAGACTTAATATTCCACAGCTCTATGCCTGACCAGACAGAAATAGGAATTTTTGGTGTTTCATATTTTAGAAAGATTTCTATAAAAAGATTTGGACAATTTTCCCCTTACCTTTATCGTATTAGTGATGCCAGCATTCTAGCCTTAAATTGCCCATTCTACCCACAGTTTCAGATTATAGAGTTTCTGTTTCAGATTACAGAGCCACACCTCAGATATAAAACAAAAAGTTATTCATGTTTCCCATTCTAGAATTTTTTTTTAAAGATTTTATTTATTTATTTGACAGACAGACACAGCGAGGGAGGGAACACAAGCAGGGGGAGTGGGAGAGGGAGAAACAGGCTTCCCACTGAGCAGGGAGCTCGGAGCTCAATGTGGGGCTCGATCCCAGGACCTTGGGACCATGACCTGAGCTGAAGGCAGACGCTTAACGACTGAGCCACCCAGGCGCCCCACCCATTCTAGAATTTTTTAAATCTAACATTCAGCACTGCCCTTCCTCATTCCACTATCCCCCCCCCAGCTTTATTTAGGTATAATTGACATTAACATTGTATAAGTTTAAGGTGCGCAATGTGAGGATTTGGTACACATATATATTGTAAAATGATTACCACAATAGGATTAGTTAATACCGCCATTACCTCACATGATTACCATTTTTTTCTTTTTGTGATGAGAACATTTAAGATGTACTCTCTCAGCAACTTTCAAGATATAATACAGCATTGCTAACTATAGTCACCATGTTGTATATTAGATCCCAAGAACTTATTCTGTGTATGCCTGGAAATTTGTAACATTTGACTGAAATCTTTCCCTTTACCCCACCCCCCAGCCCTGTCAACCACCCCCACTACTCTGTTCTAGAGTTCAGCTTTTCTAGATTCCACCTATAAGTAGGATCATACAACATTTTTTTCTCTGACTTATATCACTTAGCATAATGCCCTCAAAGTCCATCCAAATTTATGCAAATTGCATGATTTCCTTCTTTCTCAGGTCTGAATAATGCTCCATTGTATGTACACACACACACACACAACCTATATATGTATAGGTACACATCTTCTTTATCCAGTCATCCATTGCTGTACACTTAGGTTGTTTCCATATCTTGACTATTGTGAATAATGCTGTAATGAACATGGGGGTGCAAATATCTCTTCAAGATTTTGATTTCCTTTCCTTTGGAAATATACCCATAAGTGGGATTGCTGGATCATAAGGTAGACCTATTTTTAATTTTTTTTTTGAGGAACACTCATACTGTTTTCCATAGTGGCTGCAGCAATTTACATCCCCACCAACAGTGCTCAAGGGCTCCCTTTTCTCCACATCCTTGCCAACACTTGTTATCTCTTGCCCTTTTTGATGATAGCCATTCTAACAGATGTGAGGTCATATCTCACTGTGGTTTTGCTTTGCATTTCCCCAATTATTAGTGATGCTGAGCATTCTCTTCATGTAACTTTTGGCCATTTGTATGTCATCTTTGGAAAGAGTATTCATTTTTCCTATTTTTAAACCATGTTGTGTTTTGCTACTGAATTGGAGAAGTTCCTTATATATTTTAGCTAAGAACCCCCTATCAGATACATGGTTTGAAAATATTTTCTCCCATTCTGTAAGCTGTCTTTCAATTTTATTGATTGTTTCTTTTGATGTGCATCTACACTTTCTGGTTTGATGTAGTTCCACTTATTTTTTGTTTGTTGCCTGTGCGTTGGTGTCATATCAAAAATATCATTGACAAGACCAATGACAAAGAACATTCTCCCTGTTTTCTTCTAAGTTTTATGGTTTCGGGTCTTTTAAGTCTTTAACCTATTTTGTGTTAATTTTTGTGGTGTAAGATAGGAATCTAATCGCATTCTTCTGTGTGATTATCCCATTTTCCCAATACCATTTATTGAAGAGATTTATCCTTTTCCCGTTGGTTATCTCTGATTCTCTTGCCAAATATTAGTTGACTGTATGCATAAAGGTTTATTTCTGGGCTCTCAATTTTCTTCCATTTGTCTATGTGTATATATTTATGCCAGTACCATACTGTTTTTATTACTATAAATTTGTAATATAGTTTGAAATCAGAAGTGTGACACCTCTGTCTTTGTTCTTTCTCAGGATGGTTTTGGTAATATGGGGTCTTTTGAGGTTCTGCACAAATTTTAAAGAATGTTTGTTCGATTTCTGAGAAAAAATTGTCCTTAGAATTTTGATAGGGATTGCAATGACTCTATAAATGGCTTTGGGTGTATGAATGTTTTAACAATATGAACTCTTCTGATCCATGAACACAGGATATCTTTCATTTGTGTCTTCTTCAATTTCTTTCAACAAAGTTCTATAGTTTTCATAGTACAGATCTTTCAACACCTTGGTTAAACTTATTCCTTAACTCTTTTGATACTATCATAAAAGGTATTGTTTTATTTCTTTTTCAGATATTTTGTTGTCACTGAATAGAAATCTAACTGATTCCTGCATAATTCTATACATTGATTTTGTATACAGCAACTTCTTTTTCAAGTTTTTAAATTTTAGTTAACATATAATGTAACATTGGTTTCAGGAGTAGAATTTAGTGATTCATCACTTACATATAAAACTCAGTGTTCATCACAAATGCCCTCCTTA